TAGGATACACACGATGCGATCAATCCCTTGTTGTTCCCTATCTGGGCCGTTTTCCCTCCTAATAGCTCGAGATACGGTATACGAGGGGACCTCATCCTAAGACGAAATCTCAGAAACCATTTTCATCGTAAACTGTGACTTCAAATTAAAATTGTAAATGGAGTATAGCACAATTGATCATTGACCTAGATGCAACATCAGCATACGTGAAGTCGTCCATGCCTTTAGGACTAGTTTTTTTTATTCACACAGTTACTTTTACAACCCTCTTGATCTAGAATTTTTTTGGTTTTCTTGATTTATTAAGAGTTGGGCATCATATAGACAAGGGTGAATCGGCTCCCCATTCACAAACACACACACTATTCGCGGTAATGATATATTTACACTAGCAATTGAAATACTAAAAGTTTCACTCCTTATATAAACACAGTAAACACAGTAAACGTAAACAAGTATGCATATGAGTTCGACTCAATAGCTCAGAGGATGGTGTTTGATTCATAAATGCCAGGCGATGTTATTTTTCAAACTTCTAGACCTCGAAGCGACGGCATTGAGGAAAGTAAGTCGCCTGTCAGGAGAACAGATGAAACGGCTGAAGCAAGTGTAAGTTTTCTTTGTTAAAGCTGCAGTTTTGATAGAGTTTTCTTTGGTACAGGTAATGCTCTACCATTACTTGGCGTTCAGCTGATCATTTCTCAATAAACTTTTGCTAAGAGATCTAATCATTAGGAAGCGACCGCCCCTGTTTTCGTCTGAGGTCTCAAAGAATCCGATCTCAACTAATGGCCGCCATAAGCTGTACGATTTGCTCGGTAAACTTGATCCATGATTGCTTGACGTTTGCGGCAGTGCCCCCGTTCTTCGAAGCCTGGATTTTAGTACACGGCAATTGCTTGTGTGATTGAACTTCCCCTATCGTTCTTCTCATAGCCGATAGAGGATGCTGTGTGAACGCCCATCCTGCTCGCTCAAGCTCCCAAGGCAAAGTAGAAGCAGGATGGGCAGGCAGCAGAACTGGCATTTCTATTTTTTAGGGGCATTGTTTTGATCAGATTAAACACCAAACCGATCTTTACACTACGCTGAGATCCCTGGCATTCACACCCAACTGGATATTCGGCTTCTTTGCACAGTTTCGCAAGTTCGGATGCTGGTTGGTAATTGCCTGCACCTCGCAGTATTCCATGCTAAGGTGTCACCTTAGGAACTTCCGAAGATGGATGTCTGATGTTGAGGTGTAAACTTCACAAAACTAGAATTCAAGGTACATATTGCCCTCGTTTCGGTCTACTAAAGGAGCTCTTTATGAATTCTCTGAATGACTCCTTGATCCCTCATGAAACTCTACAGCAGCGAGAAAAGACCAAGTCATCATCACTTGTATATCATGCCGAAATTACTAGTGAAAACGATATGACCTTCTCCTTAAGGCCTGCGTCTTTCCGGTATCGCACAATTAGATTTCCAATATATACTTCCTGTCCAAGCTCTCTCACGGTGAACATGCGAATTGCCTAAATGTTCTCATCCTTTTGCTAGAGTCATCCGTTCCGATTTCGAAGCTTCAGAGGAAATTCTATTCAATACATCGCTGTCACGATGATAGAGAGTCCCACAAGATGATTTTCTTATCTCTTTCTCTCCGACGCCTTCGCGGGGCCACTTCTATGTAGTCGGACATAAGAGTCGAGTACCTGAACCAGGAATAAATTCTTTTCAAGCACAACCGAGCAGAATCTGCAATTATTTTATGCCTTAGGGATCTCACGGTGACGTCCTAACAAGTAGCTTACACTCCCAGCACCTTCTATCCCCAAGTTTTACAATGAAGATCTTGATTAATTGGAGCAGAAAGATAAATAAAAAAGCTAAAACTATACAATAAAGTCAACTTATAAATAGTTAGGCTCTTATTGCGTCTTTGCAGGGATTGTTGGCTGCTCAAAAAGGTACGGCTGCAGCAGAGGCTATAGGTGCAAAAACACAAGAAGTGAGGGAAGGCAAACTTGAAGGTTCAGACAGGGACTTTGCT